GCGCATTCGACGACGTTCTTGGTAGGCCTGGATCCCTAGTTCCACTTGAGCAAGGCGGAGCTTGGGGGAAAGGTGTGTTTTTCTGACCAGTCGGAGGAGCCCATTGTTGTCAGGAGAAAACTGAAAGAGCTCTTCCACTCGGAGTCTGAGGGTCTTGATGGTGGTATCTGTCGTTTCAAACCACCACTCGATTGGTGAGGAGGCAAGTGTTACAGAGTCCGGCAAGGGATCAGCAAGGGCCAGTGCTTTGAGGGAAGGGAGGAGGGACGCCGCAGATACCAATCGTTGCAGACCGGGAAACCCTGCCAATAAGGATCTGTACTGTCCGTCCAGGGGTGCTAGGAGGAAGGCAAGGCGGTGAGACGTTTTGGTCCTCCATCGGATGATATCAAGAATGATGTCCTTACCCCAAGAGACATTAGTGGAGAGAGCATTGCGGATATGCTTGAGTTGGAAAACATGGCATTGAGTAGCTGGGTCAATAACGCCTAGGCCACCCTTGTCCCTTGGAGTAGTGATCACCTCCCATGATGGCCTTGGTTTAAAGGAGCATACGAATTTGGTGACTGCAGCCTTCACCTTTCGCAAAAAGTCGAGCGGGGGGTTGACAATCCAGGATAGGTGCCAAAGTTTGGAGAGGATAAGAGAGTTGATGATGGTGGCTCGGCCCAGGACGGAGAGGGATCGGGAAGAGGCATGGGGGTGAACGACTTCTTTTACACGAACGCGAAGTTTTATTTTAAACTACCGTTAACTAAAGCGCCTGAAAGAAAGAAAAAAAAAGAAAAAAAGAGAGAGAGAGATGTTTGTTCTTTCGAACAAATCTACAGAACAATGGACTTACTCTCAGCAGATCGTAGCAACAAGGCTACTCTGCTGCTTACAATACCCCGTTCGATTGTCGTCTGCATGATAGGAAGGGCCGACAAAGAAGGATCAAATGCAACATCGTTATGAACGTTCAACACAGGAACGCGGGAACCCGCTGGAAGTCAACCCGGCCATCCACAACCGGGCGATCCTGTTCATATGTTAAACTACCCTTAACTTAAGTGCCTAAAGAAAGAAAGAAAGAAAAAGAAAAAAAAAGAGAGGAGATGTTGTTCTTTCGAACAAATCTATAGAACAATGGGCTTAATCTCAGCAGATCGTAGCAACAAGGCTACTCTACTGCTTACAATACCCCGTCCAATTAAAGTCGTCTGCAATGGATTTATCTCGTGCTATATTTGAAATTAACATTAGCAGGAACCTCACAAAGCCTTTCCGCTCTGCAAGATAATCCCACGTTCGTAAGATTCAGGATCCGAGGATCTATTCGTATTCAACTAAAAATGGCACAAGGCGGTAATCGTCGCGTTCTAGCACGGATTCTGACTTAGAGGCGTTCAGCCATAATCCAACGGATGATAGCTTCGGGCCATTGCCTGCTCAGGCAGGCCCAAATACCAATTATCCGAATGAACGGTTCCTCTCGTACTAAGTTCAATTACTATTGCAACAACATTTCATCAGTAGGGTAAAACTAACCTGTCTCACGACGGTCTAAACCCAGCTCACGTTCCCTATTAGTGGGTGAACAATCCAACGCTTACTGAATTCTGCTTCAGTATGATAGGAAGAGCCGACATCGAAGGATCAAAAAGCAACGTCGCTATGAACGCTTGGCTGCCACAAGCCAGTTATTAAAACCTAAGGGAAATTTTTCAGCACCTCTTTCTTTCCTACCGCAGCACCTTTTGTAACATACCGCAATAAATATCACATTCCACCTCTCAAGCATCCCAATGTAGTTACATCTGCGATTAGGAAGATTGTAATCACGTTTTATTTTTCTATCATCTTGAGGCTGACCAATTTCCGCCACATACAAATTAATTAGCCACTTCAGCCACAAACCTTAGTTGTCTTTTTTTTTTGAACTAGAATAGTACCCGCGGCTTCGCTCGCGGAGGTGTGGAGCAAGTGTGAATTGATAAAAAAGTGGTGGTGGTTGAATATTGCAAAGTTTATTTGTGTTTGTTAGTTCCTCATTTCTCTCTCACTTTTCTATTTCTGTCTTCACTTTTTTTTTTCGTTTTGCCCTCCCTTCCTTTTTTTTTCTTTGTCAGATTCCACAAATCGTGCCAGCGTGCCAGGCCTGACTAATCCAAGCCACAGCCACGGGGAGGAGGTGTCAGACGGGATCCCTGGGAGCTCGAATGCCTATAGATACACAACTTGGGTCGCATGAATGCCATGAAGTGGCGAGCACCGAGCCAGCCCTCCGCATCCCCAATGCGACCTGTCGTGTCTGATGAGCCCTCTGTCAGTCGAGATCTCGGTCAAAGATTTTATGCAGCAGTCTCCTTTCTTTCTATCAAATACAACACCGTCTTGCCATGAACGTACTGTACAACCCTCTCGTCCGCCTCATTCAGACTTTGTTTGACAAATCGACTCGTTGCCTTGGCGGGCTAAATCCTGTCGGTTTTCCTCCTTTGCTCAAACCTGCCTTCCTCTCTCGAGGTGTTATTCCTTGGGTCATTCCCTATTCGACCGTCGCCCTTGTAACGTACGTGCCATATCTCCATCCTCCCAAAGTCCTCTATCGCACTCACAATACCTTTTTTTCTTTTCGCTTTCCCTCTGCCAGGCGGTCAACGCATGTCGAATGTCACGGTACTTTGTACTGGTACCAAAGGATGTAATGTAAAGGCAAAGACACTGTTGAAGGTCCGGGTGGTTGCAAGAAATACCTCTGAAATGGCTTTGCAATCCAGCAAGGGAAGCTTCGATGGCTGGCATTTTGACTCTTAGGCAGCACACAGAGAAGCGTGGATTAGCGACTGTACGTCCGACACGCTCCTGCGTATTCAAAATAAATAATTAAATCGCGCATCAATAAAAAGAAAGAAGAATGTAGAATAGTTGTAGGTATTATCGTAACTGGTTACCTCTGTCCAATGTAAAGCACCCCAATGAGAGCAGACCACGCTCATCAATTCCTAGATCATGTACACTGTGTCGTCCTGCTCCTTAACAGCAGCTACTCTATTCCCAAAAACACGTAGATCAGCGGGAGCAACATGAGCAACAAAGGAAACATGAGTAGCAGGGGTAACATAAGCAGCAGGGGCAACAGGAGCGGCAGAAGCGGCTGGAGTAGCAAGGACCGTGGAAGGAGTAGAAGCAAGAGATTCTGCAACGATTATGCGCTTCCTGCTCAAAAGGCAATCCGCATGAGCTGTACAACGGTGACCAAGTTGTCTGCAAGCATTACATCTCGTAGCAGAGGACTGAGGAGCACTATGCAATGCGATGGCAATAGCTCGCTCACGTTACCTAAATGGGCCGGAATGGGTCGGAATGGTTGGCGTTGGGCTGGAGCCATGCGTGGCTGCTACAATCATGCGTAACTGGGACAATCGGTTTTTCTCCTTCAGCAGGTCGTCGTTGTCGCTTATGTTACCTAAATGGGTCGGAATGGTAGGCCTCAGGCTGGAAGCATTCCCCCGGTACCAGTGCCTCCGCCGCCTGATCGATGACCCATCCTCACTCCCCTCACCCTCTCACTCAATCGTTGTCTGACTTGTAGTTAGCCAATCTAATCGATTTATTTGAATTCCCTATGGTTTGCATTGGGTTTGTGCGCATTCGAGTCGAAAATTTTAATCCGTTTCGAATGCGCACAAATCCTAAGCAAAACATAGGAAATTCGAATAAATTCGATTAGACGCTCTACTTGTAGTCTCGAACTATTGAACCACGTCAGCAATTGCAACGTAAGCATCCCCGTCTGAAATGGCATCAAAGCTTGCTTCGCAGTTGTTACCATTATAACTTAGGAGTTGTGCTGTAAAGAGGCGGCAATCTGAGCAATTGTGGTCTGTTTACTCTAAAATACCGTTTGTTTTCCTTTATAGTAGGGACAGTAACAACTTGTCGACCTTTGTTGGCCGTTCCCACGTCCACGATGCTTGGCACACCTACTGATGGAGGAGGAAGAGGAGGTAAAAGGGGGGAAAGAGGGAAAAGAAGAAGAGGAGGAAGAAGAAGAGGAGGAAGAAGAGGAAGAATGAGGAGGAAGAGTAAGGGGTGATGGCATTGAGTTTGGCGGTGATAGTGGTGGTACATTTGGTGGAAAGGAAGTGGAGAGTGGAGGAAGTAGAGGGAGCGCTAGCAGTAGAGCGACCTTGTTAAGTTGGTCGCCTTGGCCCGTCTGTATCCTGTAAAGGTCGCAGAAGGAGAGACATCAGGGGTGGAAGTGGTAGTAAGAGTGACACGGTGAGAGCGAGTGGAAGGTATGCTGGCTACTGACAGATAAAAAAAAAAAAAAAAAAAAAAGAGAAAGGAAGGAAAGAAAATATGCTTGTCCGTGAAAGAGAAAGAAAAGTCATCGGCTCTACTCTCTCCATTCTCCATTTTCGCATCTTAACATGCTTACTGCTTACCGGCAGATCTTCTTACCGGCGTGGCTCTCATTCCGCAGTCGCATTTTAACATGGTTACCGGCAGATCTGCTTACCGGTATGACTCTGATTGCAACCCCCATCCATCTCTCATTTTAATTTAATTAACTTTAAACTAAAAAAAACGCACACAGCACACACAACACACACAACACACACAAACACTTACACACACACTACACATACACCATACACACCATACACACACCACAACACCACACACACCACAACACCGTGAGAAAGAGAAAGAGGGAACATCACATGATTTACGATAAGTCAGGTGATGGAGATAACGATTTTGTATTAGTAGATACCAACGAGCTGCCCAGAGCGAAATTATCAGTCACTTCAGCCACAAACCTTAATTGCTCAATGTCGAGCCCACACTAGAGCACATTCAAGGCGAATTGAGCTTTTGCTTTGCTTGTATAAATAAGTCGTTTCTCCCCTGTCTTTTCCTCAATCTGCAACAACTCTTGTTCTGCCGTCTTCTCTTTCTGTCCTTTGCTCCTGCCATTTGTCCTTTTTACACTTCTCTCTCTTCATTTTCTATCTAGAATTATTCAAAGATGCCAAGCAATGCTTATTTGTGCTAAATGAAATTGAGGTGCTATTTATTTATTGAATCACAAAATGAATGGTCGTGTTGCCTCACTACTGCTTAAAAAGTTGTCGGAAAGTTCTCTAATTCTACGTTGAGCATCATCGAGTCTTCCAAACGGAGAATTGTGAACAAACGTATCCAAACCCTCACTGCTTCTTGCCTTCGCCCAATCTTCAAGCAGTAGACTTTCAAACGGTATCATGGATCTCATCTGAGTTTCGAGAAACTCCATATGTTGAAGATGCAAGTCGATGAACCGCAGGCGCAATCCTTTACCATCACACTCATCGACAATGTGGGCAGCTTGTTGTTCAGCCTCGACAGTGCACTCAACTTGCTCGGCTTCGATAGGGTGGAGAGTTTGTTGCTCGGCCGCGACAGTGTAGTCATCTTGCTCGGCTTCGACTGTGTGTTCGACTTGGAAAGGGTGGTCAGCTTGCTGGTTGGCTTCGACTGTGTGTTCGACTTGGACAGGGTGGTCAGCTTGCTGGTCGGCTTCGACTCTTTGTTCGACTTGGACAGAGTGGTCAGCTTGCTGGTTGTCCTTAGCAGGCCTGTCAAAGTGGTGGTGTACAGTTGTAAACAAGGCTGAAGCAAACTCCTCGACATGTCCTATGTAGAGAGGAGGCATAATGTGTACCGAAGGAGAGGCAGTGATGGGCTTGGTAATGTTGGGCTGGAAATCAGACGAGGTTGAAGAGGACACATCAGAAGAAGGAACAGCATTGAAGGGTCTGTAGGCAACAAGTTCCTTGAAGGGTTCTGAGGACAGAGATGCTGAATGGTCGTTATCGCCCAAGGAGCGAGTAGACGATATGGATTGTGAATCATATCAAAACAAGGAGAAGCCATTCACAAGAAGACAACGATCTGCGAATATGTTTATTTCTTGGAATGCTGCAGGTGTGTACCATTTATTTTCCTTATTGTACCCCTAGACTGTATTTAGTGAATGCCTATATCCGGTCGCTGCTGCTGGAACCAAACAATGCGTGGAAGCGATATATCAACTGGAAAGATATCTCGAGGTCTTGCCATTCCAAGTCACCAAAGAGGGGAACGAGCTTGATAGCCTGCAACCTTGACTAATGCTCCAACATCCACTCTAGTTCCTTCTATGCCCATAGTCTTGCGAGTCTCTGGTGGTGTCGCCTGAATATGTCCACGCAGCTCTCCCAATTTTGTCAATCCCACCCAGCCAACTCTGATAGCCTGGTCTTTCTATCGATTCGTCCCCCAAAGAAAGGAGGCCTAGGAAGTGTCGAAATCTGGGCAATCAAGAAACAAATGGATTTATAAGTCGAGAAGTAACGGGAGGAAAGAGGATTGTTTTATTCAGGCTGAGTTTTCAGGCTATTAAATAGGCCAGCTAGGTCATATGGTTTCCAGTTAATTAAAGAAAAAGGGTTGCTGCTCAATTGCAGCACCTCAACAAGCCATTGTTGTTGAACCAATTATTGTTGGAGCCGCTGTTATTGTCGCTCCTGCCGTTGAAGTTGCCCCCGCCTCTTCCGCGTGCGCACGCCCGCCATGTTCCTGGACGCTGTCAAGTATAGCCTTGTGATCTTCCTGTTCCTGCTTGTCAGTCTTGAAGAAATTGAGGGGAAAGAGAGGGGCTGACTCTAGTGGCTTTGGGATGGCGTTGAGTCCCAGGGAAGCGGGCGTAAGGTTGGGACGGACGTCTAAGATTCGGTGGGGAGGTTGGCAAGTAGACCTCTGTACTCGTCGAGGACCCAAAAGGTTTGTAGTTTATTTTTCGGTATATATCTGGTGGATATCGTTTGCAAGCTCCTCAACCGAGTTGTAATCCTGGAGATCGGGATTGGTGTGGATCGATGGAAGGGCAGTGTCGATCTCTTCTCGGACGTGCGTTCTGGGAACTTGACGAAGGCAGACGGAGCCGTGTAAGGATGGTGGGGATTCTTGGGAAGACTCTTGATTTGCTCATTGATATCATGGATGACTCGGGCAATGATATCTGGAGATTGGTCCGTTCGTTCATAATAGCCTGCAGCGGTGGCGATGCCTCTTGGGTAGAGTTCCTTATGGAGGCCTTTCAAGTCCAAATTATCATATGGTGTTTGTTACATCTCTGCAGATCTTGACGATATCCACCGCGTCCATTAGAGGAGAGTGTATGTATGATACCAAGCATATAAGACAACCATTGTAACATTTTTTGTTTAACTATCCTACTAAACACCAACCTATTCTCCAAACAACAAAGTCTTCTTATTTTTCGCACACCAAACTCTTGAATATGTCCATCTACTATTAACCTGTAACCCTCACTGCAAGATTCGACAGAGTAGTTCTTGTATGTGATCATCTAAAGCACTTGTATTCTCAACTGTATCTTTGTCGTGAAATACAGGGGAGAGATTACATTTTAAAAATTCTTGTGCTGTCTATTGCTATTTTATTCTGTGTTCTGTTGCCCACTATGAAGAGATATGCCAGTTATGGAAGTCAACACTCCGTTCCTTGGACTTTGGATATTTTTTATATGCCTTTTTATATCCTCTGCACATGAAGGGGCCGCTATGTAAAGCAGTAAAGACATACTCCTGAACATGGTTTGGGTACTGCAAAGGTTTAAGGGGCCTGTCTTGCTTCAAGCTCTGCGACCCCGGCGAGGAGCAGCATGTGGATGACAGCGTCGTTGGTGTCGAGGAAGGAAGGGTTGGTGGAGGGGATATCATGTTGCGAGCTCGTGGAACTTCATATGTGTGTTGCCGGATGTATTCCTGGGCGAGTGAAAAGAAGATAAGGATCCGGATCCGAAGTCACCCTCTTGTTAATCCCCTTATTTTTGTTTACAATAAAAAAACAGATCGCACACATCATCGGTTTCTGGTCGTCTCGACGGAAAATATAAGATGCAATCAACTTCTTTGCTTGGTCGTCCATTTAAGTAGAAGAGTAATGTGTATTTTCTAATGAAGACTGACGGGGTTCTTGGCAAAGAATTCTTCTAAAGTCGTCAACTTGCCACGAGCATTCCGCGCGGACCACTCTACCAGCTCCACCGTGTTGCTACCATAGTACCCAAAATCTTCAATGTACTTCATCATGGGCACAACATAGTTTGCAACAATAGGCGGCAGCGCGCGCTTGGTGTCATCAACAGATATCTGCTTGTACTTGACATCTTTTCCGGTGGCCTTGCTGATGGCTTGGGCGACCTCATCGAAAGTGTAGAGCTTGGTTGCGGCCGAGAAGACCTTGCCCTTATACTTGTCAGGCTCGGCAAGAATAGCTCCTACATACTTGCCGGTGTCGCCAATGGTGTCGATGAGGGGAAACGGAGCTTGAGGCGACACGACGTGACTGAAAGCGTACGTTCCGTCGCCAACAGGATAAGGCGCAAACATGTCCAGGTGATTCTGCATAAAGCTTCCAGGAGAAAAGAAAGCACTGTCGAGAGGCAGGCCCCGAATATATTGCTCCGTCTCAGCCTTTACATCAAAAGTAGCCACAGTGTAAACGCCGTTGGAAATCTTCTTGGTATGCGGTAAGGTGCTGAAGATCAAGTACTGAACGCCTTCTTCAACTGCCGCATCAGCCAAGGCCTTCCCCTGAGCACGCTCCCTGGCTTCCATTTGATCATCGTAGACAGTAAACGTTGCAGCAAAGACTGTGTGTGCTCCTTGCATGGCCTGCTTGAGAGAGTCCATGTCGTCCATGTCACCCTTGACGACTTCCACGCCTTTCTTGAGGAGAGCCAGAGCCTCGGGCTTGGAGGGATCCCGAGTAACGCCACGCACCTTGAACACTTTGGACAAAGTAGAGTCGTTGATGACATAGTCAATAACGGAGTTGCCTTGACGGCCGGTAGCAAAAAAGACGACAAGAAGCTTGCTCATGGTGGTAGTGGTTGGAGCTAGGTGATGTTGGGAGAGGGTTGCAGGTGATGGTAGGTTAGAATTATAACTGAGGGAGATGCCACGAATCTGAACAATATATACCATTTCCGGGTGAGACGAGGGATACAATCCGCAGTAATTACTAACCCGCTTCTACTATTACCCCTTTGCTACATTGATTTTGCATAGATCCAGATGTAAAACGCCAATTGTTATCTATTTTGCGCAGCTGCCCTTTCAAAAACACTCCAGAAGGCACTATTTTGCTTAGGCTACTAATTTCTCTTTGCGCAGTTGGTATAGTGCAATTTGACACTTTCCGCCACTGCCTCACGATGGTTTGTGATGAAACTTCGAGCTTTCCATCCTAGGTCGCCGCCTTGGAGATATGTATGGCACTCGCCTAGCTCTTCCTCCTGGATATGAAGAGCCCTATATACCGCCCAGAGGAGGCCGACCCCAATCTACATGACAAGTCCGACGTTGATGTGGATGAGAATGCCGATGCTGAGTCCGACATTGGTATGGATGAGAATGCCGATGCCGAGTCCGACGTTGGTACGGATGAAATTGCCGATGCCGAGTCCGTTGTTGAGGATGAGAACAATGTTGTCGAGCCCGTCAACATAGTCAAGGACGCCCAAGTCGAGCTCATCATTGAGGATGATATCCGTGACATCCTTTTGGAGAATGACCGCGTTCTAGCTGTAGCCGACGCGTAACACTCATAAACAACCGTGACGTCATCAATCATTAATTTACTATAAATGCCTATCTCACTGTTTTTTCTCTTCATCCCACACTTTAACAATCCCTCCATCCTTCTCTACAGTATGACCGACAACCACTTGACTCTATTTTGTCTTGTTGATGGAGAGGCTGCGTCTAGTGCGTTTTCTGTCGATATTCCTCAACGGACACTGTCGATGGCCTCAAGAAACTTATCAAGACCGCTTGTCTCCTCAGTTTAACGACCTTGCAGCACCCTCTGGAGTGTCTCCATTTCTGACGACAACGATTACGACCTCCCTATTCTGCTCAGCTCTGTCTCTGTCTCTGAGAAAAAAAAAAGCTCAAGGCGACTACCAAGCTCTCCAAAGCCTTCGCCATGGGGCTACCGGAGGACACCATTCACCTCATTGTCCAGCGTGCATCGCCACTGCAATCAGGTAAAGAATGTACGATGTAAGCTGTAACCGAGGAAGTGACTCTAAAGGAAGACGGACATAGACCTCTTTACTAACATTTCTTTCATGTTATTTGCCATCTATGATGTATAGATACAAGCACGCCACACACGCTCGAGTTGGAGGCGAGGATGGAGGAGCTGCTGATGGAGAATGAGAACCTGCGTGGGGGCAAGAGCATCGTTGTATTGAACGTCGTCTTGCGGCCGAATCGCAGCGAGTGTTTCTCCTGGACGACAGACACTGAGACAACGAGCATTAAGGAACTGGAGAGGGCCATCTACGATGAATATCCCGACCGAGAGGACGGCGACGCCGTGTTGGCAATCATTCATGCACGCGGGATTTCTCAACACGAAGGCGGAGGGACAGAGCGCCCCCGCGACGACACACGGTTCAGGAATATCATAAAACAGTACTAGAAGACGAACACAAGGACGTTAACAGTAGCTCTGGAGACACCGACCAAGAAGTACACCGACTTCACACTCAAGGAGGTCAACAGCCTGTGCAAGATCTCGAACATGGAAGCACCAACTATGACTGACTTACCGCCCTTCACTGGCATCTCGACAGAGGCACTTGACTCAGACTTGCACAGGGAATCGCTACGGAGACTGCTTGATGAGCTCGACTCCAGGATACGGGCGATCCCCTCCCTAACCAACGAAACTACATGCTCAGCCTACGTATGCTCGTTCCTCACGCAAGCCGTTCTGATATTTAATGGCTACCTGACACTCGCACCGGAGAGACCGCTTCGAGGCAGACACGGACATGGCAAGGTCGACTATGCTATCGAGGCTCTTGCCAAGGATGGCTCGAGACACGTACTGGGTGTCACAGAGGTCAAGCATGAGGAGTATGGCAAGGGCTTGGCGCAGACCTAGTGCAGCTGGAGTCATCCTTGACGGTGAAGAAGCGCAAGCGCGACAGTGACGATAACGGAGATGAAGAGCGAGACGAGGACAGATCTGTCTCTTTGAAAGCGTATGGTATCGTCACTGATGCTACCTACTGGTTCTTTGTGGAGTGCACCGTCGATCAATCACAAGACTCTGGAGACCGCCCCAAGTTCAGGATCTCGAAGCTGAAGGACATCATCAACTATGACAAGGACACTTGGAGAGTTGAAGCCGCGTCTGTGCTGGGCCAAATCGTGTGATTGATGAGGAAGATGCACTCTGAGATCCCAGGACGCGAGCTGCAGCTCAAGGAGCAGAAGTTTACCACATCTGGACAGTCAGCAGGCAAGATGCAGCGTGTCTAGCCCATTCAGGCTTCTTCACGTCATTGTCGTTGTACTTCTAGCCGTCGAACCTGCGCTGTGATCTCTTTTTTTTTTCCCCTTTTCTCTTCCTTTTCTTTTTTCCCTTTCTTTCTTTTACCTTTTTTCCTTTTTTTTTGCCTCTTTTTTTTTGCCTCTTTTATTTTTGATCCTTTGTCTTTTGTCCTTTTGTCTTTTGTCCTTTTGTCTTTTGTCTTTGTCCTTTTGTCTTTGTCCTTTTGTCTTTGTCCTTTTGTCTTTGTCCTTTTGTCTTTGTCCTTTTGTCTTTGTCCTTTTGTCTTTGTCCTTTTGTTTTTTGTCCTTTTGTTTTTTATCCTTTTGTCTTTTGTCCTTTTGTTTTTTGTCCTTTTTGGTTTTTGTCCTTTTCTTTTGTTTTCCCTTTCTTCTTTTTTTTGCTGTTCTTAATTGTTCCACTTCTTTGCTTTCTCCTTTGTTGTCCTCTCACTGTCGCACCCTTTTGTCGGCATCACCTTGATCTTTTTGTAATTTCACCTCACATACGCGCATACTCAGCTTGACGTGTGTCCGTTGGTAAGTGATCACTCTGATGCCGCGAGCGTTCCTGAATTATAACTTTTCTTCCCTGTTGCCCTTTTTCTTTACCGCTGCCCTTTATCTTCACCGCTGCCCTTTATCTTTACCGCTGCCTCGCTGCTTCTTTTGTCCTTTTGTCATGTTGTCTTTTGTTGTCATTTTGTTTTTTTTTTTCATTTTGTCTTTTGTCTTTTATCCTTTGTCCTTTTGTCTTTTGTTTTTCGTCCTTTTGTCCTTTTTTTTTATGCTCCTAGTTGTTCTACTTCCTTTGTTGTCCTCTCTACTTCTCTCACCACTTGTCTCAATTGTCGCGCCCTTTTCTCGTCACCACTTTTCATCCGCCTCCGACAACTCTGACCTTTTTTTTTAATTTATCTCTCACACGCGCACACTCTGCTTTGCATGCGTCCGTTCTTGGTAGGTCATCTCCCCTAATGCTGCAGCGGCACTCCATGTTTCACTATACTGTTGGAGGTGTACATGTACATGAGGTAGTGAAAGAAAAAAAATTATAAAAAATTCCATGTCATTCCTATCGGCTTCAAAATTGAACCTCATATATGGCAGTATCAAGAATCTTTGTATACTTAATATTGGCGTAATCGAAGCAGCACTTATCTTGTAAAGAAAGATAAAGAAAAAGAATTAAAACATGTACACTCAGTTTTGGAGCGCAGTGTACATTTTTTGTTGTGACAAGCAGTCGTGTACTGTACGATGGGATGCTTGACGATGCAATTGAGTTTTTAGATACGGCCATGCTCGTACTGCTGAGAGAACTTGGCCTTGACGTTCAGAGCCTGGGCAGCGTTGATGACAAAGTTGGGGTGTCTCAAGAACCCACGGCCAACAGCAATCAAGTCGGCCTTCTCCTTCTCCAACACTTCCTCAGCCTGCTTGCCTTCCGTGATGATACCGACCGCCACGACCACAAGACCGGGCACCTCCCTCTTCACACGTTCAGCGAAAGGAACCTGGTAACCGGGGAAGGCCTTGATCCGCTGCTTCGCCGTGTTCCCACCCGCAGACACATGGAAGACATCCACGCCAGCCTCCTTGACCCACTTTGCGATCTGAACCGTTTGTGCAATGTCCCACGAAGGCTGATCCAAGTGCTCAACGAAATCCGTGGCCGAAACTCTGAGCAAGATTGGTTTCTCTGCAGGAAAGTTCTCACGGACAGCCCGAATGACCTCCAGCAAGAACTGAGCTCGGTTCTCGAGCGACCCACCATAGCGATCCGTGCGATGGTTGCTGACGGGGGAAAGGAATTGATGGATCAGGTATCCATGGGCACCGTGGATCTCGACCGTGTCCAACCCAGCCTTGGCTGCACGGGCCGCCGCTGTGCCAAAGGCCTTGATCGTCTCCTCAATCTCCTCGATCGAGAGCTCGCGAGGGATATGATGGGACTGACCCCATTGAAACTCGGCTCCGCCGCTGGGTGCGACCACATTGTCCTTCCAGTACGCCGACTCTGGGAGCTCCTCGTAGTGGGCTTTCACGGATGCCTACGAGGGTTTAAAAAAAAAAAAAAAAAAAAAAAGAACAAAGCAAGATGATGAGTTTTCGCTTTTACTGTTTGGTGAGAAGGTCGTTTGTTTGTTTATCGTCTGTTACCTTTCGTCCGGCGTGAGCGAGCTGAATACCGAGCTTGGAACCCTGGGCGTGAACAAAATCAGCGATCCGCTTCAACCCAGGGATTTGCTTGTCGTCCCAAAGACCGGTATCAGCAGGCGAAATCCGGCCCTCTGGCACAACCGCCGTCGCCTCGGCCAAGATCAAACCGGCGCCATGGGTGGCAAAGGATCCGAGATGGACGAGGTGATAGTCTGTAAAGAAACCGTCCTGACTAGAGAATTGACCCATGGGGGCAACGACCACTCTGTTGGGCAAGGTCAGATCCTTGACCTGGAAAGGCTGGAACAACAGAGGAACCTTGTCGGCATTGGGCAAAGAGGCGTCAATGGGGCCGAGGTATGAGCCAGGTGCGACGGGTTGCTTGATGAAGTAGCGCTCTTGGGGGTATTGGATGCGATAGTTCTTGTGGACGGCAATTGCGTCCGTCGTGGAAGGTGCTTGTGTGGAAGGCATGGCTGTACTTTGTTTTTCTTTCGGGAGGAGGTTCTTTTTTGAAGTGAGGGAGGACGATAACGAGATCGATGAATGTGAAATAGGAAGGAAAGAGAAGAATGAGAGAAAAAAAATTAGAGTGGCCGGTTTTTTATGATCCACCTGGACACGGACTGCAATTTGTCAGACTCGACTCAAAATAGCGTCTTTTTTGTGCGAATCACATACTGACAAATCAAGGCTTGATTTGTCAGTGAGTAGGTGGATAAATGATTTATCCAGGGCCTCCCCTGGAAACTAGTTGCGAATAAAAACTAGTCTCTGGTGACACAAGTACGGGTTTTTGTTGGAATAAACCAGTTCAAACCCGTAGGCAAACCAGTGTGCAAACCAGTGCCAACCAGTACAAACCAGTGTCAATCAGTGCCAACCAGTGTCAACCAGTGGATCGATCCGTAGTTTTATTTCAACAGCCACCACCACCACCACCACCACTATCGTTGTTGTATGCCCTATCCCATGCACTCAGTAACACCATGATCTTCAATTTTCGCCCTCCAATGGCCCGCTTCTTGGTCAACCTACAGTCATGAACAAAAGAGGCCGAATGATTTCGACTTTTTGACATGAATGAACTTTTTTGTTTTCCATTGCAACCTATTCGTTCCAACGTCACATCATCAGATTCTGATTTACTTGACATTGTCCTTCAACAACTAGAAAGTTGATCATCGCATGCAATTCAGATTAATTCATTGTTCAATCTAATCACATCATTGGACCTGTTTTGTATAGGGCATCTATTCGAATTTCATTCGAATCACTATGTTTTGCATTGGGTTTGTGCGCATTCGAATCGAATCCAGCTGCCATGACACAACCATTGTTACTCAGGGGAGAGGGTCGACGGCCAGAGTTGTAGGACCGCTGTTAGGTCCTCAATTGGTACGGAGGGGGGGGGGAAGGGGTTGTAGGTTGGGGGGAGGGGAAGTGACAATAGTGTCCTAAAAGAATCACACAAAACGATACACTGCAGCGTGCCAGCGAAACTCTTGTCAATACTGCTCTCGTCCAAGTGATGTGTAAAAGGACCTTGTATTCATATTATCAAAGAGGGGGTTGTTACCTGCAGCGTGCCAGCGAAACTCTTGTCAATACTGCTCTCGTCCAAGTGATGTGTAAAAGGACAAAGAGCAGACAAGAGGGCTCGGCGCACTACTAATACTATGTCTACTAAAGAATATGACTGCTAACCTAAGGCATCGCCGCCACTGCCTAGCCACCACATCTTTTTGTAACAGTTTCTACCTCCCTCAGATGGGATGCCCGTCCCCTGACAATTCACATCTTCACTCCTTCCTCTCCTCCCTCACTCTCCTTTCCACTACTTTCTTCAACATATCACCACTCAGTGTCTCTACTCCTTCCTTGGTTCCGTAGTGAGTACGACCCGTCTTCACCCCATATGCGCCCGTTCGACCGACCCAAACGACCTCAAAAGGCCCCAACCAACGAGGGGTAAGCTTCCTCCCAAAGCCCGTCACAAACGCGAGATTAAAGACCCATACTCGTTCGCCCTTCTCGAACTTGATGACCTTGACACGACGATCATAATAACGCTTCGCCTTCTCGTTCGCATTCATCCTGTTCTCGTATGCCAACTCTCGCAGTCCCTCGCGACGACAAACAAATCGGGCCATCGCTCCTTCCAGCTCCTCGTGCACAGGTTCAATTTCACCGGTGGTCGTAAACAGACGATCATCGCTGAAAGACTGGCGCAGTGCAGAACGGCCAACGAAGCCCATCAGCGCTTCCGAGGGAGAGATCTTGGTGCTGCCGACGATGCGGTGGTTGATGTCGTAGACTGCCTTGGGTAAAAGAACGTCCCATTCGACTCCTGCCGACACGCTCCTACGCAACCTCTCCTCGATCAACTTGTTGGTGGCTTCAACTTGACCTTGGCTCTGCGGATGTCTAGTGGACCCGACCAAGTGCTTGATGCCCCATGCCTCACACATCTCCTTGAACTCCGTCCTGAACGCTGGTCCTCCATCGCTTCGAATGACCACGGGAAGACCAAACCGACACATGATCGACAAGAAAAGGGCTGCCTTGACACTTGCGGCACTCTTGTTCGGGATGGCACAGGCCTCTGTCCACTTGGTAAACGAGTCCGTAAACACAACAATCGACGTCATTCCTCTTGTCGTCCTGGGCAAATATTCGATCAGATCGACAAATAGAATCTCGAACGGAAAATCCGGCGTCGATGGATGAAGCTCGTTGTGCTTCTCTCTGGGTCCGAACTGCTGACACCGACGACATGACTTGACCCAATCGAACACATCCTTCCTCATCGTCGGCCACCACCCTTGAGCTCGAATTGTCGCCAGCGTAGCTTCCGCTCCATAATGGCCTCCAACGTCATGTGCCCACGACAGTTTTTCCTCCACCTCAGACTCCACTACGCACTGCTTCTCAACGTTGTCGGCATCCCGGTACAGTAACCCTTTCTGCGCGTCAACCCTAAAACGAAATGCCCTCCTCTTGGCCCTTCTTGCCTCGTTGTAGTCTTCCAGCCTCAGAGTTCCAGTGGTCAAGTAGGTAAATGTGTTCCTGTACCACTTGCACTCTGCCCATTTGCTGTCCATCGAAACCGCTCGCAGAGTCAGACACTCAGGCATCTCGTCATCAATATCGTCCCCCGCAAACTCTTCTCTAACCGTCAGCCTACTCATGCCATCCGCGTTTCCATTCTTGATTCCAGGCTTGGTCCGAATGGTGAGGTCGAATTCCGCCAAAGTCATCTGCCATCTCGCTGGGCGTCCAGTCAAATCGGTCTTGGAGAACAACCACTTCAACGGCGCGTGGTCCGTAAAGACAACTACCGATCGACCCAAAATGTATGGCCTGAACTTCTTGACCGAGAACACAATTGCCAGGCACTCCTTCTCGCTCGTGGAATAATTCAACTCGGGGCCATGAAGTGTCTTGCTGTAGAAGAATACAGGCCTGACCTCTCCGTTCTCGTCCTCCTGTTCCAGTACAGACCCAACCGCATAGTCACAAGCGTCGCATGGCATGATCCAATCACGCTCGAAGTCGGGACCTTTGAGAACTGGCGACGTCATGATCGCCTCCTGCAGGTTCCTCATCGATTCTATCTGCTCGTGGCCCATCACGAACACTACTCCCTTCCGCAACAACCGATTCAACGGCTCCGCCAGCTTAGCGTACACCCAGATGAACCGACGGTAGTATCCAGTCAACCCCAGAAATGCCCTCACCTGCCCTTTTGAGTCCATGATCACGAAATTGAGGACCTTCTCAACTTTGTCGGGCATGACCTGGATTCCATCTCGTCCAACGATATGTCCTGTGAACTCGACTTTGTCGTATCCGAAATGGAGCTTGGAGGCTTTGTATTTGACACCACCTTTCCTGGCTGCGGCGAATGTCCGATCCAAACCATCCAAGTGTTCGTCCCATTCCATGTCTCTATTACAGACGTCGTCCATGTATGCGTTCAACACGGTGCCGATCAGGTTGCCATAGACCTTCTGGACGAAGCGACTGAACGTGTGTGGTGCATTCTTGAGACCAAACGGCATGACGGTGTAAGCGTAGGTTCCGAACGGGGTCCTGAAGCCGAGATACTTGCGGTGCTCCTTCTTCACTCCAATAACGTAGTATCCTTGAAATCCGTCCAGACTGGAATAGTAATGGTGACCGGCCAGCTCGTCTAGGATATGCTCGATGTTCGGGAGAGGCCAACTCTCTCTCTCCGTGACCTTATTCAGACCGACATAGGCGACACACTTTCTGATGCTCCCATCCTTTTTGGACGCCAGGGACAATGGCGCGCACCATTCGGACTCCATCTCGACGATCTTGCCTGTAGCTAATTCCTCGGAAATACTCTTCTTGAGGAACTCCATCTCCTTGGGCGCGTATCGAGGCGACCATCCAACGTATACCGGCTTCGATCCAGGGATGACATTGACCTCGTGCTCTAAGACGGTGGTGACCTCCAAGTCCTGCATGTCCATTGTAAACCGGTCTCTGTTCCGTTCCAGGAGCTCAACCATCTGTACTCGCTTCTCCATCTCCAATGCTGGGTTGATGTCGACTACTACATCTCCGACTTTGAACTGCGGCAACTCAGGCGACGACTCAGGCGACGACTCAGGTGACTTCACAGGCGACGACACCAGTGACTCCTTGCTCTGCAAGTTAACAGTCTCCACAGACCGCGCTTGGATCGATATGTCTGACAACTCGAAGGACCGCACTCGCATGGCTCGAAACCCTTCTTTGGCATCTCCTGTGGACTCATCCGATTCATACTCCTCATCCGAATCCTCATCGCTATAATCGTCGTCAGAGTACTCCTCAGACCCACTGGAATCACTGTGCGGTTCATCACTCGTGCCCAAATAAACGTTGACTCCTTCCTTGCGGACGTAGTATCGCTTTCCTCCACTGAAAGCAGCCCTGGCTCCCACGAAAGCTAGCCAGTCGTCTCCGAGGAGGAAATCGTAGGAGCGCTTGCAGTCGATCACGCCCATATCCATCTGCCCACCGAACCCTTGGACATAGAACTTGATGGGTCCAGTTGATCCTGCGAGGTTGTCAAATCGGCCATCAGCCAGCAGGATACCGCGGTTGGCTGGTTTGAGTTCGAGTCCGAGGTCTTGTGCTACATGGAGCCCCATCATCGTCCTATCATTGCCTGGGTCGATGATAGCATTCGGGTAACTACGGCCGTTGACTCTGACAGTGGTTACATCTCCTAGCGTCTTTCTCGAGACTGCGATACCCCGATTGGCCACAGTTATAGATGGTTGCGCAGCCTGCGCGGTGTTGCTCTTGGCCCTCGCCTTCTTTCGTCTCTCCCGGCTGTCGGCATACACGCGACTGACTGCTGCCTTGAGCTGCGACGGCATTCGGCCTCCATGCTTCGAGATAGTGGCGACGTCAAAGGTGAGGTTCTCAATACTGGATACGAAGACTGGATCCGG